CAATCAAGGAAGGATTAGCTGAGCATGATAGGTGTTCAGTGGATTGTAGAAGCAATTATAATTTTCTATGTCAATAATAAAATACATTGGACCCATATCTCTTACAGAGGGGCTTATGAAATTATTATTATCATGGAATATCATCATTGGTTCTACAGCCTGCTGAACAGCCATTACATTCAATTAATCCAAATTATCAAAACAGAGCAGATTTGGAATCCACCATGGGAACAGTAGGTTAGGGATCCAATCAATTCGGTATCCATTGACAAGTTTATTCCATAAGCCTGATCTCTTTGTTTGCCAAAAAAAAGCCTAATCTCTAACAGTGGGTTAGGGATCCAATCAATTCGGTATCCATTGACAAGTTTATTCCATAAGCCTGATCTCTTTGTTTGCCAAAAAAAAAAGCCTAATCTCTTTGGAATTGCAAATGCAATAAAAAGGCCCTCTAGAAAATTAATTAACAACAATTTGTTTCTAATGCAATTTCATTTTGGTCTGGTGCAAATTCATGGGAATGCAATTTTTATTTCTCTTGCTTGTACTCCAATGCAATTATTTGTATTGGTGTAAATAAAACTGCATTACAAACAAATAAAATATTTTTGGTTTGAAAGAAAAGATAGGGAAAGGAAGAAAAATGTAGAAAAACCTATACAGAACATTTAGGTTTGTATAAATTTCCCTACGTTTCCCTTCCTTTCTCTACTTTTTACTTCAAACCAAACACAGTATTAGGGGTAAGAAGAGATGATCCTTTTTTTTGTTTTGTCTTGTTTCTTTTGGGGGGAGGGGGTTGTTAAGTGTGGTTCCAAGCGCCAATAATACAATTCAACCAAATGAAATTTCTTTTCCGCAAAGGCAAGGCAACGGACTACAATTTCTTGTTTTATTAAGTGGTCAATTTTGTCTTTTACCCTTGGCATTGAAGCTGACCGATCTGCAAATTTTCTTCTATCATACCACGGGGATTTTATGGAAAACAAAAAAAATGAATTATGAATACATATGTCCCATGTATTTGCAATTGAATTCACATGTTAACACTAATCATGTTGAACAGTCTCCATAACAGGTCTTACACTCAAGCGAATTGGATTAAACTTTATACTGACGGTAGGGCTGTCAATGGACCGAATATTGGTTCAATCTGACCTGGTCCATTATGAATTTATTATAGATGGATCATGTCCAATCCAATCCGAAGAATACTTTGGACCATTCCAGATGGTCCGATTCAATGTATGGACCATCTAAACTGTTCAAATTGGTCTTAATTTAGATTGGGWCTAACCCACACTTGGTCCATTGATACCTATACTCTTATCTTATGCCGGTGAACCAGATATTGGTTCAATTCAACCTAGTACAATATAAACCTATTACAAATGGATCAGGTCGAATCCAATCCAATAATATTTCATGTTTTATTAATCCATTCAATCCGTTCAAATTGATTTTGATTTGAATGGATCCAACTCAAACCTGGTCCATGAACACCCCTTAACTGATGGAGTGAGTCCTGGGCTTTTACGGTTACGGAACAAATCTTTTGGGCTTTTCCCCCTTTTGTTTTCAAGGCTACTTCCGATTAAGGACGATTATCATCAATGGCCTAAATCTGAGAATGAAACATCAACCAAACTCATTATTTCTCATTACGGAGACTCAATCATAACAATTAGTGTACTAAGACTAAGAAAAGGATATTAAGATTTTTTTTTACAAAAAATTATGTTTTTTATAAACAAAAATATCTAATATGGATATAATATGAATATCTAAACATAACATGAATTGAAATAGTGAGAAATAAGTGAAGGGTTCATAGTTTAATAATACATATAGCACTGAATATAATGGAATGGTGGAACAAAATTCATGTAGCCAACCCCATATATTTGGGAGAAGGTTCCATAACAAATTCTGCAAATTAGAAAACAATGGAGTAAAAGAAGATGTGAACTTTTCAAATTTTTAATTAAATAAAAATAAATAAAAGAAGTACTAATAGAACAAAAGATGCTTGATGAGGAACACAAATCCCTTATAATTTAAGAGGAAGCAGAAGAATGTGGGAGGCGTGCAGCCTCCTTTCAATACATATAGTTTTATGAATTTACAGAAAACGGCTAATTTGTATGGTCTTAATAACAAGCTATGGACTCAGGTATGGCCAAACAGCTAATTTGATTTTCATTTAGATTGTGTTTGGTACCATTGTTATTTTTTCAGAAAACGTTAAATTTGGTGTTTCTACTATATACAGACATATATAATCCGGAATTAATATTTTCAGCAGCATTTACACATAAAAAACTGTAGCCAGCTTAGATATTTTCTTTCTATAAAAGTGGCAACATCAAAGGAAGATATGTATTTATCAAATTGGAAGTATGCCGCTTACTTTTCTTTTAAACATGGACAATATTGTGGATAACCAATGACCCAGTAATTGAGAGGGTCACTTTTTAAAAGGAGGCATGGGATCAAACCCATGGAACTGCTAGTGGGCTTTCACATGCACCCTGGTCTGTCCCCTCCCTTCTACCCCAATAATAATGCAGATGGCAATAGGGACTGATACCATACTATATATGCTTCAAATGTAGATGTCAATATTATCTCGGATTTGCCCCTACAAGAACTGTGCAGATCACTTTAAAGAAGTTATAAGTTAAAGCATTTTGACATATATTTAGGCCCGTTTGGTTCGCGAGAATAAGCGTATGGAATCAGAATTGGAATGGGCTATTCCGATTCCAACTATTTGGTTGGGTGGAATTGGAATTTCATTCCCATTTCTGTTGGAGTGGCATTCTCTCATTTGAGGGAACAGCCATTCCCTGCCCCTCCTTTGGGAATGAAATCCCATTCCTGCTGATTTTAATTCCCATTCCCATTCACATTCTTATCTGAACCAAACAGACCATGGGAATGGACCATTCCGTTTACAATTTCAGAGGATTTCAATTCTGATTCCGATTCTGATTATGAACTAAACAGACCCTTAATTCCCAAAACAAGTGATGGCCTTGGTTTTCCCAAATAAATCTGATTATATATGATATAAATATTGCCTTGTAGTAGGCATGACATTTCTATTAGTTTATTAACTTAATAGGAACCAAACCATTAGATACAAAACTATAGCAGCAGGTTGGAGTTGGATTGTAACGAATCATTCCTTATATGGGAGGTTAATCCATCACCTAGGCTCAGCTTGGAAGGAGTACAAATACAAATACGAACAGTACAAAACCCTATATTTTGTATGTATTTGCATAGTACATATTTGTATTTGTACTCCTTCCAAACTGAATCTTGTGGAATTGAAGGAAAAAACCTACTTCAAGAGGATATTTTTGTGGTCAAATGAATGTGTATTTGTCATTGCATGGAACGGAACCTATTACCTGAAGAATTTGGGGCCGACCAAAAAGGACATGAATAAAAATAGTAATATTTAAATACTAATAATTTAATAGTAGAAATAACTTTAAATAAAACGGATTGACAAAACGGGATTCATGTAGCCGAGACCCCATATAGTTGGGATAAGGTATGGGTGATGATAATGTTGATCGACCCTATCACAGGCTACATTCTATGTGCTAGCTGAAGAAGGAAGCTTATGCTTTTAAATTAGTTCTAAAAGTTAGGGGCTAATTGGGATAAGCTTAATGAGTGTTCACTCTATGTTATTCTTCGGCTGATTGCATGTTCTTTTGTATGCAATGCTTGACAGAGAAAACCCTGTACAGGCAGAATCACAAATGGCTGTGCCACAATTTCTTTCAGTAAAGAGAAATTAAGGCTCAGTTTGGAAAGAACACAAATACAAATATGTAAACTGCAAAACCTTGTATTTTGTATGTATTACAGATTTGTATTTATAATACTCTTTCCAAATGGAGCCTAAATGATAAATACTGGCTTATTGTTTACTTGAGCCCTAAGTTCAGTACAGTGGTGTGGCCGATTGATTCATCATTTCAAACCAGCCAATCAATGAGGCACATCTTGGATATGGAAAATGGATTTAGACTCAGGTCTAACCACCTTAAGAAGTTTGCAGAAGGTCAAGTAAATTATGTGCAATTCATGTCTAAAATGTGCAAAGATGAACTATATATTCTGTTTTATTTTCTTTGTGCTTCCCCCTCTTTCGTTTGATGTGTCATTTGAACATATTCCTCTGCAGTGGAGTCATACAACTAGAGTCATTTTATCAACCTTTATATTGGGTAAAACTAGTAATTCCATTCTAGTTTCTAGTGGTACAGTAAATTTTTTAAGTGCTATTTTTGGAATTTGCTGAGAGAAATACAGAGTTTATATTATTCAGAATTAGATGTGCCAATCTGTCAATTTAAATGCTTGTATATGAAGTTATCCAGAACAAGACTACAAATATGAATTTTCACCTCTAAGAATGAAATTTTCCATCTAACGGATATGAATTCTTATTTACATCAAAAAAAAAAAAAGACAAAGAGCTATATAATTATAATAACTTGCTGTAGATGGGAGAAATGGAAATACTTTGATTGGTCAGACCAAGGATATACTCATTTACCCTGTTTTTTGGGCCTAGAAGGACCAAGAATATACTCAGGATCCTCACTGTTAACAACACCATATTATAGAACGATATGCCAAAAAAAGGTGCCCAATTCAGAGTCCAGAGCGTTTGATTGGTCAGCYATCTCTTCGGATGGGGAACATTCCAAACAACAACTTGTAGTAAGAATTGCGAACTGTCATTAGTAGTTGCCTAGTTGGTAAGAAAGACAAAGGATGAGGCTGAGAACTCGATCGGCCATTATCATAATCCTCTCCCGATTTGTGCCGTAGAGGGAACACGAGATGACGAGGCATAAATGAGATATGACCGATTTAAAGTAGGGCAAATTTTTGGAAATTGATTAATTCTACCCCTACTCTTTTAGTATTGTCTTAAAATACTCTTATTGTGTCTGATAATTGTCGTCATCTTAAGATTTAACGGAGATGTGCAAAAATTCATTTTTGAAAGCCTAACGCCGATGACAGAGCAAGATATTGAAGAAATTGCATCTTTCAGATCTTCATTTTGTCTCTAGCTTCTATAATGGCAGAGCAGGCGGTGGAATCCAAGCCACAAATGGGGATGGGGAAAGAGGTGAGGGAGGAACCCGTCCAAATTCATGGCAACCATGCCCTTATCTGGAGTTGATCCCTTGATTCAAACAAGATTCCGGTGCTGGAGTTGAGCCACCGCCACCACCTCTACTGCAAAAGTATTCTCAAACCGCTCCCCTTTCTCTGCCATGTACTCCCCTGAGCCGGACAAGATTCCGGTGCTGAAGTTGACCCCCTGAGCTGGACAAGATTCCGGTGCTGGAGTTGAGCCACTGTCACCAGCTCTGCTGCGACTCCGAAGCTGAGCTTGAGAGATCGTGATGGATCAAAAACCAACTGATGAAAACACAAAATCATGACTGAAAAATAAATAAATAAAAGAACTGGTTGATTAAAGACTACCGGTGATGCTTCCTTAAACTCATCTAAAGGAATGAAAGAAAACAACTTACATGATCGATGGGCTTGGATTTCATGTACTATTCAAAAGTTTGGCTTTTAAGGTTTTCGGTTGATGTTTTAGAGGACGAGTTTCAGGAAAAATTTGCTGAAATTTCTGGTAGCAGATCTAGCAGTCTCAAGTAGTTCTGAGGAAGATGTTTTGAGATTTGAATCTAAACTAAGAAAGTTTAAGGTGCTGAAGGGTTTTGGAGCTTTGCAAAATCGGATTTTTTCGCTACCTTGTTTCAGATTTTGTGTAATGGGGAAGATGCAATGGAGGGACCTAATGTAAAACTGGAACCGAAAGAATATTCAGGCAAGGCACAACTATATTTTCTGTGAAATCAACTTCATCAGATTCCCGTTATACTTTCTGGCGTCCCCTTGGTTCACCTGAAAGAGTACGAAATCTTTCTACTCCAATTTCTTCAATATCTTGCTCTATCATTAGTGTTAGGCTTTCCAGATCATTTCTTGATTTGGTTTAATGTTTATATGCTTCGAAGTTGTTCATATTAGGGTTTTGGGTTGAAGAATGATAGGTGATTTGAGAGTCCCATAATGAAATCGATGAACAAGGACGACGATTTCAGGCAGTCTACCTGAAATCAATGAATGATTATGATTCCTAGTTATCTTCATAGGTTAAATGAAGACCACACATTAGGGACGACGATGAACAAGGCTTTGTGGGTGCTTGGGAGTTTAAGATGAGAGGGAAATTAAAGAGATGGATAGAATTGGAGGGATCAATTGAGAGAAACTGAAAGGGAGAGAAGGAAATGAGAGAGAGTGGCCAAGTAAGGGGATGTCGGGTAGATCACCGCAGCTAAGAATTGTAACAATGATCAAGGAAACCGGAGAAAGTCAAAAACCTAATTTATCAAGTGCGAGATATGTTTGGGTGGGCCAGTCGTGGACTTCCATGCCCGGTGAGAGAGAGAGTGAGAGAGWGACCAAGTGAAAACCAGAACTAGAGATGAGAGATAAGAACCACAGCCTAAGGTTGCAACGACGTCAATGGCCTCGTTTTTAGTCCACGTGTGTGAAGGAAGTGAGGGAGAGTGAGAAGGAGAGAAAGATTTCAAAAGGTATTTTTGGAATTTTTGAAAAAAATGGTCACGTGATGTCATATGTGATTAAGTGTGACGGAAAGTTAACGGTAAGGGCAGTTTTAGACAATTGTCATAAACAGTAGGGGTACTTTAAGACAATACTGAAATAGTAGGGGTAGAGTTAGTCAATTTCCTAAACCTTAGGGATAGTTTAAAAAATTCCTCCCGTATTGAGCGAATCCTTGGGTGGCCAATATGCCTTTTTCAAGCTTTTTCCACAAGTTATTTTTTTAATGTTAAACAAAATAGCTGTTAAACCGACCCCTTTCGCACATTCTAGAAAGAGAAAAATATATATGTGCACAAAGTTCAAAGTGTTGATATTCCCTTGGGTGCAAGGTGCCAACCAGCTGATTGCTAAAGTATCATGCTGGTCATAACAAAGACTTGGGATCTGTGAATGTTTCAAACAATGCTAAAGGACTAGTGCATTCAAGCATAACAAACATACAAGAGCTGAAGTTTAACACACCGAACTCATAAAGAAAAATGGAAGAGAAATGGAGAGAGAACACTAGGTTTACGTGGTTTAGCACTTTAGTCTATGTCCACGGAYTTTAAAGAGTAAGAAATCCACTATAGAAGCTTCTAATAGAGTTACAATGGCTCTCCTACAACCCTTCTTTTTCTCTTACGTTCTTGCCTGCTTCCCTCGAGTCTTCTTCATACCTTTTTTTTTCTCAGAAGTAAAAAGAAACAACAAAAAGGGAAAACCTAATAGATACAAGCCCTTGGATCTTAGTTATCTCCAATGGCTGAGATTACAAGACATAACACAAGTTACATTTATAAGATTTCTCAAAAATATCCTTGATGAAACCCCATAAACCCAACACTCTCCACCTTGGCTTGTAATCGAAATAAAGAGTCCTTCATGTCAAGTAACTCACTCACACAGATCACCAATGAACTCACACCTCATAATCCATGAGGTGTCACTCTTGCTCCATAGGAGCATCTCCTCTTATCTCATATCCAAGACAAACCACCCAATGCCTAAACTTGTTTGTAGTAACAGGCTCGATAAGAATATCATCTATATTTTCATGTGTGTTCACCTTATCCAAGTGTACTTTGTCATTGGAAACTATCTTTCAAATCCAATGAAATTTCACATATATATGCTTTGTTCTTCCATGGTGCACTTGATTCTTTACTAGGTGAATTGCACTTTGACTATCACACAATAAGATTGATTTGTCTTGTTGCAAAAACAATTCGTTAACAAAACTTGTTAACCAAATAGCCTCTTTAGCACCCTCCACTGCTGCCATATACTCAACGTCAATAGTGGACAAGACAACAATAGGCTGTAGGATTGCCTTCTAAGTCCCCAACATAATCAACATCAACAAAACCAACCAAATGATTTCTATAAGACCCTCTGTCAAACAATAAACCCACATCAATAGTACCTCTTAGATATCAAAAAATCCATTCTACTGCATGCTAGAGTTGTTTCCCTGGATTTTCCATATACCTACTCACAAAACTAACTGTGTAAGCAATATAAGGCCTAGTGCATACCATTGCATACATAAAGCTCCCAACAACACTACTATATGGCATGTGTGACATATGCTCTCTATCTTCATCAGTTCTTGGTGACAAATCTGCTGACAATTTGAAATGTTGTACAAGCAGTGTTTGAACTAATTTAGCATTTGACATCTCAAACCTTTCCAAAATCTTTAGAATATACTTCCTTTGAGAAGCCCATAGCTTGCATTTATTTATGTCTTTGATAATTTCTATCCCAAGGATCTTCTTAGCCCTTCCAAGATCCTTCAAATCAAATTTAACACCAAGCTTGGTCTTCAATTCCAAGACATTCTCCATGTTTTTACCATATCATCAACATATATAGGTGATTATCATCAACATATAACAATAAAATAGTATGTGAACCATCTTCTAGAATTTTGTAGTAAACATAATAGTCAGAAGAACTTCGCTTGTAACCTGAATTAACCATAAAAGCATCAAAGCACTTGTACCACCGTCCAGGTGATTGCTTTAAACCATAAAGCGATCTTTTTAATTCACAAGCTAGACCCTCCTTTCCAATCACTTCAGAGTCTTCTGGTTGCTCCATATAGATGTCTTTCTCCAACTCACCATGAAGGAAGGTTATCTTAACATTAAGTTGTTCAATCTCTAAGTTAAGTTTAGCTACCATGGATAACACAATGTGAACGGAGGAGTGTTTCAGAACTGGAGAGAAAATATCATTATAATCCATACCCTCCTTCTAACTACACCCCTTTGCTATTAATCTAGCTTTGTACTTCACCTCTTCATTATTTGTTCCTTCCTTCTTGCAGAATACCTACTTGCAGCCTATCACCTTTTTATTCTTAGGTGGTTCAACCAAGTCCCAAGTATAATTTCTGTTAAGTGACTCCATTTCTTCTTGCATTGCAGTTAGCCACTTATCTATGTCATCTTGGTTGAGTGCATCCTTATAATCATAAGGGTCACCATTAGCACATACTAGAGCAAATGCCACCATGTCTTCAAATACATATTTCACAGGTTGTTTGATAGACCTTCTTTCTCTATCCCTGACCAATTGGTAGTTAGTCTTTTCTTACTCCACCTGCTCATCTTGACTTTCCTCTAGGTCCAATGATCCCGCTAGTGACGAATATGGTGAACTATTGCTTTCATCATTAGAGGTAGGCTTATGTACCTGTTCTACAAATAGCTTTTCATCTTCCTTGCTTATTGTTTTTACTATGGACCACTCATCAAAGACCACATCTCTACTATATATCACATGTTGGGTTGTTGGATCCTATAACTTGTACCCCTTAATTCCCTTATCATATGCTTAATGAATATACAAGGTTTAGATTTAGCATCAAACTTGGATCTTTCCCCTTCATGTACATGAACATATGTAGGACATCCAAAAACTCTCAACATGGTATAGTCAACTAGCCTTCTAGTCCATACCTCTTTAGGAATTTTGCTTTCAAATGCTAAATTTGGTGATTTGTTCACTAGATAGAAAGTTGTATTTATAGCTTCTGCCCAAAATGCTTTAGGTAATCCAACATGAAACCTCATGCACCTAGCTCTCTTTGTCAATATTCTATTCATTCTCTCTGCCACTCCATTTTGTTGGGGTGTTTTTGGAGTTAAAAAATGCCTTCTAATTCCATGGCTTTTATAGAATTTTAGGAACTCCCCATCCTTGTATTCCATCCCATTATCATTTCTTAAGCATTTCACCCTTTTTCCTATTTATAATTCCACCTCAGCCTTTCATTCTTTAAATTTAGCAAATACCTTTGACTTCCTTGCATGTATGTTGTCTTGTTTTAAAAGACATTCTATGTTGCTTTCCATACACACAATACTTGTAGAATTTTAGTTTACAAGTCTTTACTCCACTTACTACCTTCATCTTATGGAGTTCTAACAAGCCTTTCTCACTCATATGGCCTAGTCTCATATGCCACAAATCTATATCATCTGCATCTGATTGCAACTCCACCTGTCATTGTACTCCCTTCCAAAATGTAGAAATTGCCTTCTCTTCTTCCTTTCATTACAGTCATGGATCCTCTCTTACCTGTAAGAGCACCATCTGTCCCCATAAATGAACAACCATTTGCTTCAAGTGTAGCTAAGGAGATAAGATTTTTCTTCAATGTCAGGACATGTCTAACACCATTAATTGTCCTTGCACGTCCATCAAACATTTTTATTTTAATGGTACTAATCCCCACAGTTTTGCAAGATGCATAATTTCCCATGAGAGCAACACCACCAACACGTGGTTCATAATTGTCAAACCAATCCAGAGTCAAGTAACCAAGTTTATGCAAATTCTCTTTCCTTATCAGAAACCACAAGTACCTCTTCGTCTTGTTTTGTTGCATCACTTACTCTATTTTATGTTTACTTCCTTTTTCTTCATTGTCCCTCTTTCTTTGTTTATAGTCCTTCTTCATATGCCCCTCCTTATGACAATAAAAACACTTGAACTCTTTAGCCTTGGATTTTTCTCTTGCCCTTCCTTCCTTCCCTTTTTCTTTCTTTAAACCTTCCCCATCCTTTCTCCTTTTCTCTCACCACAAGTCCTTTCCCATGAGAATCCTCAATATGTTTTTTTCTCAACTCATTTTTTGATAGTGTTATTGTAATATCATCATACTTGAGCTTGTCTTTCCCATATATCAAAGTGGTGATAAGTTTATCGTAGGACTTTGGAAGTGAAGCCAAAAGTATAATGGCTTTGTCGGTATCATCAACCTTAACTTTTACACTCAAGAGCTAGGAAAGAATTTTATTAAACTCATTTATATGGTCAAGTAAGTTTTCTTCCTCCTCCATGCAAAGTCCACAAAATTATTTCTTTAAAAATAACATGTTTGTCATCGACTTCGACATGTATAAGGATTCCAACTTTTTCCAAATTTTTGCTACTATCTTCAAGCCCGATACATGATAGATAACTTCACATGCCAAATAGTTTTGGATTGATCCAACTGCTTTCTTGTCAATTATTTTCCAAGTTGCATCTATCATGTCTTCTGGCTTATTCTCATTTCCATCCAAAGCTACTAGAATATCTTGTCCTACAAGGAAATCTTCCACTCTTGTTTTCATGTCTTCTAGCTTATTCTTGTTTCCATCCAAAGCTACTAGAATATCTTGTCATACAAGGAAATCCTCCGCTCTTGTTTGCCACAAGCTGAAATTTCCCTTTCCATCAAATCTTTCTACTTCATACCGAATAG